AAATCAGAGAAAAATATGCTAACATGAAGAATCTCCTTCCAAATCGTCATAACATATTCCAACCCATAGGACCTCCATAAGACCCCCCAAATAGGTCTCGTTAATAAGACATGCTTACAAACGCCAATTCGGCCCATAAAACAAGTCTCACGATATTATAGGAAGTTTTAACAAAGGAAGACCACTTGAATTCCAAGACAACTAAAGCTCGATCAATACAGATATCCATCAACCCAAATCATTTGTTCCTTATTTGAAAAAACTGGATCATTCCATATCCCAATTCTTTATTAACATGGTTCATCTATATCATAAAGTTTATCATTTGCATTTTTGTTATTTTAGAATTTGCAAGTGAATGATTTATTATTCTTATTTTTTGGTATATATTGGCATTTCCAATCACTTTCATTGGATAATGCTTTTTCAAATATTATGCATTTATGTCGATGATATTTTTAGTAATACACGACTGGTTTGTAAACTCACAATCATATAGTCAAACGGGTTATGATTAATATTTTTTAAAAACATTTTTTAAGAGTTGGTCTGTTAAAACATACATACAATATAAGCGTGTATATTTTACAAGTGGAATCATTTAAAGTTTTCATATACTCGATTTCTTCTTTTATTATAACTTTTAATTATATATTAGATAAATATTTTCCCCCGCGCTGTAGCGCGGGTCCGTTTCTAGTTTTAAGTTAAGATAGAAGTAGAAATTCCAATATATATATATATATAGGAAAATTTAAGTTAAGATAGAAGTATATATATATATTTTTAAATTTTTTAAAACTTCCCTATATTATCATTTTCAAAAGTATTGTTCAACCCAAACTCATTTAAGAAAAAGAAACTAGCGCAATCTCAAAATCTTACGGATAGAACGACGATGGATCTCAATCACAAAGAGATGTCAGAAATTATGATTTAAATATTTAAAGTCAACTATTAATTTCAGTTTATAATCAAATTTGGAAACATAATTCGATTTTTTTTAATTAGATCTAGGTGAATAGAAATTTTAGGTCATGTGTAATTTATAAACTATTCTCAACTGGATTTGGAGAATTTTCTCGCTTTAAATTCGACGAACGAATCTATTTTCATATAAAGATTTGGATTTGTGGATATGCAATTAAATGTTTTGTTCATATTGTACTTATGTGGGTTGAATTTATAAAACCAATGTCTAAAAAAGAATAGCGCTACTAGTCTTAACACATGATTTTTTTTAGTGCTACTTTGATAATCACAAAATTAAACGGTACTAATTTAGTGGCTTGGAAATTTGTTACTCAAATTTAGTTTTGAAAGCTTTGTTGACAAATGTGATTGTTTTGATTCAATTTCAATGTATTATAAATTTTTATATAGAGTTTTTTGTATTTTTCTTTTGTCACTTCATCATGTATTGATTGTAGTTTTTATTTATTTATATGAATATGAATGATTCAATGAAAAAAAAAATTACTTACTTCCACTAACCTACAATCTAGGCTTCAAACCAAATTAAGAGAAGTAGTTATACTACGTTCATACCGGTTTAGTCGATTTGGTTGAAGCAAATCTAATTAAGACAATAAAAATTTAGCTTATCAGAAATCTTTTCTAAACATGTTATCAAGCTTAGAAGGAGAGGAATGATTAAGATTTTCCACTTATGCACGTGTAGGGTGCGGCTAAAATGATTAAGACAATTAATATATGATTCAATTTTAATTCACATGCATTCTATTCTCTTGGAAATCTTCCTCATTGCAGATATATAAGTTTTGCAAGTTTTTCAAATTCTAAAGGAATATTTTCAAAAAATAGTATTAAAAATGAACTTTTCTAACAAATGCACTAAATTAAATTAATACGAATAAAATTAAAATTCTGAATGCAATAAATTAATTTTTTTCGATTTAAAAAAAAAATATTTTGAAGAGATGTAAAAAAACTATAATATGAATTCATTTATGCATAAGAAATTCATAAATTTTAATCTATAAGTAATGATTTTTTCTATCACAATTTCGCAGCTTATGAAATTATAAAAAATGATACATTTTTAAATGTGATACAATTTTAAATGTTGAAAACTTATAAATTATTTGTATGACTGTTTGAAAAATATTAGAGGATACCCTAATATATTACTTTAGCAATTCAACACACTGATTAGTTGATACCAGCAAAATATAGAGAGGAATTATAGATGAGAATTATGTTAAAAAGGAACTATGATTTTATATTACTAATAAGACTACTTGATCGACTTAAAATTCAGTCTTATTATTTTATAATGTTTACTATTTTATTGAATAGTAGTTCATATAGGTTTTAATATATTTGCATTGATATTATGGGAAACTTCTTAAAATGGCGTGTAGTTGAGCATTAACATTAATGTGATAAGAGTATTTCTCACAAAAATATTTATAATATCTTGTAGTATAAATTTATTGCTAACTATAATTATATTCAACCATTTTCAAATTAAATAAAAATGTCATATTTATTCAGTTTTAAAAATAAAATTAAAATTAAAATTGTAAATAATAGTAGAAAGGTCTAAAAAAATATTTTCAAGTTTGTCATCTCATTAAATATTTAACGTGCGAATTTTATATCCCTTTTTCATGTTTGACCATAAAAATCACGATTTTCCATTGTGTTTCATAATACCATGGGATTTTTAGTTATATATTCCGTGCATGGGTTTGATTTCTTAAGAATTCTATATTAGTATTTTCTTAAGTATATATATGAAAAAATCTTCATATTTAAAACAGTTACAAAAAATGTTATTGTATTTAATATAATATCTTTAAAAATCAATAGAAAATAGCTAGAAAAAGGTAAAAATGGAATTAATCTAGATATTTGGAAAAAAAATTCAGAATTTAAAACTGTAATTCTCCTATCATATTTGTTTGATTTTATTTTTAGTTGCTTTATATCACATATAAAACATAAAATATATGAAATTATAATTTTTTGCATACTTTTTATTCGAACCTTATTAAAATGGACATATTTCACTCGCTTAATATAAAAGTTTGTGTGTTCAACATCCTAAATCGGTTAAAATGTTTAGAGAATGATTCAAAATCATACTATACATCAAAATGAATTTAGTCCGAATGAACATAAAGGGAATCAGATTCGCTGACAACTCAACAAAGTATTGAGCACTTTATTTCTACAGGTCTTCCTCAAAGTACATACACTAGTCCACTTGTGGCTGCGACCCTTCACCATTTAGAGTCAGTAGTGGAATTTTTCTAAATCTTAGTTTGTCATATATTTACCCTGGATTTGTTCATTCCCTACCTCCTCCAACCGCATATGATCATGACCCTAAACCTAAGATAGGTAAACAAGTTGATAATAAGAGAATTATTCGTTGTATCCAAATTCTATCGGAAAAACATCCAAACTTTAAAGTTTGTATATCATTAAATTTGATTTTACGTCAATTTTTTTAAGTTTTAACATATATAGTCAATATTAGAATTTTCATATTTAAACTTAATAAAAACTTTTAATTAACATAGACAAAGTATATTACATGACGAGTTGTATGACGGGACGGGTTTGAATCACTATTACTAAAAATTAAAATATTATTAATTTGATACTTTAATATGGGTTAAGTCTTCATCTTGCTATTTTTAACAACATCAATATAAGACATCTTGAATCAAAGTGATATAAAAAGTATGGTATTATGCAATTTTAATAATTATTATACAAACTCCAACAAAATATCTAAATTCTATAAAAAAAAAATATAACTGTAAATTTAGAAGAAATAAAAAAATTTACATTGTGGTGCACATGTTAAAGTATAGTCTTTAGTACGTATAGTTTTAAACTCATTTAACAGTTTGATACTTTGATTCATCATTCATCCCTAAATTCCATATATGCTTTTTTGAGGAATATATATTCACACAGATTAAGATTGATTCATATGTTAAAGACAAATCACAAGCTGAAGTAAAATTTAACCTAAATCTGAAACCTTATTTTGTCAAAATCGGCAAAAATACACGAATACTAGATGATGATCCGTGATACACCGCGGAGTAATTTTGGTTTGTTAAACATTGACATCAATTCTTAATTCACAAGTAATGGTTTTTGTTTTAGTTTGTTGTCTTTTTTCTCCGATTGCATAATACGTATCTCTTATCTTAATTTGGGATTTTATAATCTAGTTAAGCTTCGTGGTTATAGCCTCGTTGACCTTCTCCTTTGTAGCACTAAGCAATGCTCCCTTATAAACAAACCATACATGTTTTGCAATCTTGGTGTGTGACTGTGATGAATGTTTTAGTTGCAATACTATATGCTTATTATTAGTTATTAGTATTGCAAAAATCTACCTTACAAATAGAAGAGAAGTAGCTAGCAAAAGAAAATAACAATTGAATAATCTTAGTATGGCTTCTTGGGTTCATCTGCTGGGCCTTTGGAATTTGGATCAGCCTCTTTTGGATAAGCCTTTTGAAAGTCTATAACTGACAGTGGAAAAGAGACAAAAGAGTCCATTATTTATTGTTATTGAATAGACAAAGCACTGAAAACTTTAAGATAGAAATAACAGTAATGCAACAAAAGAGCTGTTGGGAAAATATTGTAAACAAAACACACATCATTGTAACCACATTATTAAAGTCTCAGCTTCATTTCATTTCACAGATCTAAACACAGATCATGAGAATCAGTTTCTTCGAAGCACAATGAGGTACTGGATTCCAGGTTTGGCTTTGGCTAATTGAGGAAGCATTTCTTCTGTCTTCTCGCTAACAAGCTCATATGTTTTCTCCATAGCATCTTGGCCAAATTGCGCAGCTATAGATCCTCCAAGAGAGGCCTTAAACGCGAGCGTCAAATAATTTGTGTCTAACGGATACTCGCCTTTCCCGTGAGTAATCTTTTCGAAAGCCTCGATCGTGAAACACCCGTTTGCCTCGATGATTTGCTTCAAATCATCCTCTTGTGCAGCATAGATAGGCAATTTGAATGCATCAAGCTTTTCTTGATCTATTAAACCCTTTTGATTTAAAGAAACAAAGAAATGTAACATGTTAGTATCAATTAGTACTAATATTATGATTAGAAGAGTATATATATAATTTTTACCTGTTTAGCAAGTTCGTTAAGTGAAGTTCCAATGTAATCAATCATCATTCCTTCAACGGATTCAAAGAATTTATTTCCATTTATACGACATGATCCAAGAAGCAATAGCATTCCACCGGACACAAGCTCTTGAGATCTCGCGTTAAGGAAACTTCCAACATCGGTCTTGTATTGATCGAAGTACAATTTCTCTACGGCTTCTGAAGATCCAGAGCAATGTATCTCATTGTTCCAAACAGGGGAGTTACGATCTTTGATTCCATTTGGAATCTTGGATATGAAATGGAGTGAGTAAGAAGAAACTCCTAAATGGAGACTACTTCTTGGAAGAACACGACCAAAGAAAGAACCGGGTACTCCGGTTGCGAAGTAGCTTCTACCTTGAGGAAGTGTCTTGAATAGAGTGTTGAAATCGTTGTTCGAAGAATCATTGAAGAAAACTTGGAACTCTTTCTCTTTATGCTTTTGTTCCACAGCATCAATAACGATTTGGACCGCGTTGAACGTGTTCGGTCCAGAGGAACAACCGAAATCCGCTACGTTAATGAGGTTTAAACTACTGTCTATATCGAGTTTCGCGGAGATCACTTCGTTGATCTTCTCCTTTGCAGCTATAACCAATGCTCCCTATGATCCAAACACATTCTTAAAACAATCAATACCTCAAAACTTAAGAGATATATGATTCTTGAATTAGCAAAAAAAGATTAGTATACAACAAACCTGGTATTTCGAATGTTCTCTGTAACTATCAGGACCTTCACCACCAAGCATAGAGTATGTAGTCGACATGTCTCTCTCTCTCTCTTTCTTTGATCTCTTTTGTCTTGTGATGTGTTAAAGACTGTGATGTTCTAAGTGGAAGACTTTGTGGTTTACTTTATATTGCAAATTGGTGTAATTAAATAAACATATTGGCCTCGTTTTGTTAAACGTATATTGCAGCAAAAGAATAGTTTAATTAGGAAATGTACAGTGGATAACATATTTTAAGCATTGTCAGGGAATCATATATCTTGATAAACTTTTATTGGAGACAGGTAGCCCAATAATGTGGACTTTTTCAACTCTTTGCTAAACAAGAACGTGCAAAATTATAATATATTATGTTGAATAGTAATATTATAGTTGATAAAATTAAAAAGTTGTTGCATAAGATTTGATTATTGATTAAAGAATGTGTTATTGATTAGTGATGATTCCCTGACAGTGTTTGCTGTAAGAGATCTCTTACAAAATATATATGAATAATTCCGTGACAATGTTAAAAGATAAAATTACATAACCAAGTGAGGTGAAAGTTAACTGTATTTTTATGATATTTATGTTTAGTTTGCTTTAGGTTGTTTTTGTTTGTGTAGCTTGTTGTAAAGTATTGTTAGATTGTTGTAGTAGTGAGGACGGGTTTTTTTGTTGTGTTTGTTGTTCGAATAATCTTATTAAAGTGAGTGCAGAACCATGAATTTATTTAAGTAATTGGGATTTAGTAACTTGTTTTGTGATGATGTGTAGGCATGATAAAGGTGTTATTGAATGTTTGGCGTGTTGGTTAGTTTTATTATTTTCTATATGTGGTATCTTGTTGTTCGTGTATAGTTTGTATATGGGAGGATTACCTTACTGAGTATATATGTGAGCACTCACTTATCTCTTTTTGTTGTGGTGCATGTAAAGATATGACCGTGAAATTGTGACAACGACAAAAGAATGATCTAGGATTGTTGGATGTTTATTATGCTTTGTTTTATTTTATTTTCTTAAAATAATCAAAAAGGTTATAAGCCGAAACCCATACATTCTCTCAAGTCCGAGACCAGAACATGTTATATAGTCTCGTCCCAAGCGCTATTTGAACCAACGATCTCTAAAATTTTGCCGGAGATTTTCAATTTTTTTATTTTATTGAACCTAATTAGAGCATTGGATGGAAATGATTCTGTTAAAATAACAAATAACTAATGATCAAGTTGTATACAAAATTCTAAAGATATTTTCTTACAATTATCTTGCAAAAAACCATATTTTGTCCGTCAAAATTGCAAAAATAAGTTTCTCACCAAAGCTTAAAAGTAATGTTTTTTTTTTTGTCAAAACTGCAAAATCATATTTTCTTTCCGAACCGCAAATCATGTAGATGGAGATATAAACTAACTAACAAAATAAAAGTTTATTCAAACGAACAACATCCATATAAAGCATTTGTCCATTTAGTTCATTCAACTGGATAGTATATATATATATATATGTTTATATGTATATATAAAAATATTTATGCTTGTAAAATATTCAAACACTTAAAGAAAAAAAACAAATTGAAATTATTCACCCATAGCTTTTGTGGAATTAAGCAGCCAATTGCTGTTGACTTGTCTTCCAATTGTTGCATTCCTAAAACGTGCCTATTGGTGTTTGACTGTTTTCTCTCTGTCTTTTTTTTTTTTTGGTTTTCTATTTGTTAATGATATCTTCTTGTGTTAAACTGTTAATTATATTCAAAGTTTAGAGATTAGTAGAATGTGTCACTAAATCAACATAACAAGGTTTGCTAGTTGAGAGATCGGGTCAACCTGAAGTCTCCGACCCATCGTAGACTTGAGACTATTAACGACTAGGACTAGGTTAATTGAAAAAAATAAGCATGAGTCACTTATCCAAATTATGAAACTCATAAAACACTAAGCAGAAGCACTAAGCTAGGTAATACAAAAACACAGTAACTAACATACTAATAAAACGTTGTTGACTTAAGATACTAGACTACGACATATTTTCAGAAGTCAGAACTCTTTAACAACGTTGGTTCAAACGTTGTTGTCTGAAAGCAAACACAGTAGCTACTTAACTCTTCTATTTAAGTTTTCATCAAAGAGAGACTTGAACCAACTGCTACTAAAAACACGGACCAATCATCAATAGCCACATGGCTAGAAAGACGAGTTATATTCGTCCCATTATAAAGAACGTTTCTACACATTAATCGTCTTTCCGATTTATATTTAAAATAAATAATGTGTGAGATGAAACTTAATAACGCTAATGCAAATGCTCTAAGAAACATAACAATAAGTGATTTGATCCACAATGATAGAAACAAAGCCAAGTTTAACATCATAAACATAGTTTAAAGTTCACCAGAACCATCTCTCTACAAAAACAAAATTTTCAAAAGAGCTCACGATTCAATTATACAAGTATACAACATAAAAGTATCAATCTTTTTCCCAAAAGATCCAAACTTTATTCATAATTCGATTCGTAATTACGGAAAACGATTCCAACCCTTCAATTATACAACTTACAATTCAACAAAACTACATTAAACCCACAAATAAAAACACCCAAATCCTCAAAATCCCATTGCTAGCACCCAAACTCTATAAAATCGAACAAAGGGTGTGTATGCTTAAAACCGAGTCCAATTAAACCTGGTTTGCCATTAAACCGGGTCCAATTTAACCGGGGTTTGCCGTTAAACCGGGTCCAATTTAACCGGGGTTTGCCGTTAAACCGGGTCCAATTAAAACCGGTTTCTCTCTCTTAAATTGAATCTAAAGTGAGAAGAAAACCCTAATTTTACAAAACCCGATTTGTAACTACCAAACCAACCAACGAGACACACCACCCAACGATCTCTTTCTTTCTCTCTCTCGAGACTTTTCCAAATTCCCAATTCATCATCACGTTGAACAAATTTGATCGAGTCAGTCACCAAATTGTATGATCATCAGATTCCAGAATTCATCATCTTTCGTTTTTAGTCTGATTTTGTATCATTGCATCATCATCAGTTCAAAAAGTTCGAATTTTTAGGGTTTTTCTTCGAAATCGCTTGTTTTTCTCATCTGGGTATCTGCAAAAATCGAAACTTTGATAAATAAAATTCCTGGAATTGAGGTCTTTGGGATTGCTCTGAAGTTTCCGGCAATGGCGGAGGATAAAAACGGCGGACGTGTGGTTGACGAGAGTGAGTACTCGTCGGAGGATGAAGGAACAGAGGATTACAGGAAAGGAGGGTACCATGCGGTGAGAGTTGGTGATACTTTTAAGAATGGAGTTTATGTGATTCAGAGTAAGCTTGGTTGGGGACATTTCTCTACTGTTTGGCTTGCTTGGGACACTCATGGATCGGTATGTTGTTTTTTTACTCTCTTGAGAACTCATTTAGGGTGTGAAGAGAAGAAAAAATGATTGCTTTGGTTATGTTTCTTAGTATATAGAGTATGTTTGCTCTGTGTCGGTAATGTGGTTGAGTGGGGTTCTTGAATTAATGTAGAAATATATGTTGAGAAGTTTATGGATCTTTAGTTTCATGTCTGAGTTATGGTTTACTTATAATGTGCATGAGCTAGCGTGTCAGATTGAGTTTGTAAGCGTTAGTTTCAGATCCCTGTAAAGATTGGGCTATTCGTTGTTTCGGGTAAACACCTGTAGTGTTATTATAGCCTTGTGTTTACTTAGATTGATTTCTTTTGCTTTCTTGTCTTTGTATGTTATACTTGTTTGGTTTTGTGCTGGAGGACCTTGCTTTTGTTTTCTTTATACATTTCAAAGCGTTGACCAACGCAAGAAAATTTATTGTTTGTAGCGTTATGTAGCTTTGAAAGTCCAGAAGAGCGCTCAGCATTACACTGAGGCAGCCATGGATGAGATAAAGATTTTGAAACAGATTGCTGAAGGTGACTCGGGTGATAAGAAATGTGTTGTTAAGCTACTGGATCATTTCAAGCATTCAGGTCCTAATGGGAAACATGTTTGTATGGTTTTTGAGTACTTGGGAGATAACCTGTTGTCTGTTATCAAGTACAGTGATTACCGAGGGGTCCCTCTTCACATGGTTAAAGAGCTCTGTTTTCATATTTTGGTTGGGTTAGACTATCTTCACCGTGAGCTCTCTATTATTCATACTGATTTAAAGCCGGAGAACGTTCTGCTTCTGTCTACGATTGATCCATCAAGAGATGCTCGGAGATCAGGTGTTCCACTTGTTCTGCCAACCACCAAGGAAAAAGTTGTTTCTGAAGCAGCTGCTAAACCTGAAACTAAGAGTTATACATACGATGGGGATTTGACAAAGAATCAGAAAAAGAAGATCCGTAAGAAAGCTAAGAAAGTGGTAGCTCAAGGGTGTGGTGGAGAGGAAGCTTCAGAAGAAAATGAAATCATTTCTAACTCAGAAGCAAGAACAAATGGCAATTCTACCGAGGAGAGGTCAGAAGGAAGTTCCACAAGATCAAAGGAAGACGAAGAAGCCAGAGAGAAGGGTATAAAAAATAATAGTCAGGGTAATAGGAGAGGAAGCCGATCCACAAGGAAGAAATTACTGGGTGAGATAGAGTGCAAATGCAAATTAGTTGATTTTGGGAATGCTTGTTGGACGTATAAACAGTTCACAAGCGATATTCAGACAAGACAGTACCGATGTCCAGAGGTTGTTCTTGGATCAAAATACTCAACCTCAGCAGATATGTGGTCATTTGCTTGTATTTGTTTCGAGCTGGCCACTGGAGATGTCCTATTTGATCCTCACAGTGGCGAAAACTATGACCGCGATGAGGTACCTTCATATATTTTCTTTTTTCTTTGCCAGTTTTGTATAAAGAGCTAAGTTGTATCATTCTTATTTCCAGTCTGAAACTGGTTGCCTTTGTTTCAGGATCATCTGGCACTGATGATGGAGCTTCTTGGGATGATGCCAAGGAAGGTAAAGCTGATAAACATTGTCGCTTTGCATGTGATCGCACATTTTGATGATTGAAACTTGGATAAATAGTACAGCCTAATTTCCTTTTGATGAGCCTGTTTTGTCTTCAACTGTAGATTGCATTAGGCGGTCGATACTCACGGGATTTCTTCAACCGACAAGGTGAACTAAGGCACATCCGGCGGTTGCGGTTTTGGCCAATCAGCAAAGTCTTAAAGGAGAAGTATGATTTCAGCGAGCTGGACGCAAAAGCAATGGCAGATTTCTTAATCCCAATTCTTGAATTTGTGCCTGAGAAGAGACCGACAGCCGCCAAATGCCTAACACACCCATGGTTCAATCCAGGCCCGAGATTACTGGAACCGTCATTGAAACCGCAAGAACCAAATAAAGAAGAAGAAGCAGCAGTAAATGAGAACAGAGAAAAGGAAAAGGACGAAAGAGAAGCAATGGAGGCTGGTGTAGGTAATATCGCCATTGATGGCTCTGAAGAGAAGGTGGCAACAAGAGGAGGACGTCAATGTGGCCGGGATATTCGCGCATTAAAATGATTAAACTGCCCCCAAAGTTATTTGTTCGGCTTGTCATCTTCGGTTTGTTGTTTGAGATTTGGCTTTTTCCGAGTAGAAGATTTAGACTTGTGTGTTTTGTTTTGATGGTTGAGGTGAAGATTCAGAATTTTGTTGCTCAGAACAGTTAAAAGCTTGAATGTGGTGAATGAATATATGGAGACACAAAACTGTGAGTTCAGTGAGGATCAACGAAGCTCACTCACTAACTCGCATTCTCTACTTCATCAAAAGAAAGAAAACACATTCTACCTAATGGAAAATTATATCCATTTATATCCATTTAAAAGTTATGAGGTCACAAATAAAGTTATATATATATATATTTACAACGAAAATCTTTATTTTTAGGTTGCCTATTTTCGAGAGAATGAAAATTTTAGAGGAAACTGTAACAACTTATTATTTAATAGATTTTATTTTGTCACTTTTCAACAATCTAGTGCTCAATTTTTGACTCCACTACAGAATTTTATTACTTTAAGTTGAATTCGAAATGTTCATTGACATTTGCATCGCAAGTATTTTTTTTTTTAACTAAGATTGTGTGCTTACAAAAAAATCAAGTGTGGTTGCTTTTTGTTTAATGTGTGAGTTAAACCAACCAACATGAAGAGGGGTGTATTCAAAATGAAATTTTAAAAGATTTGAGTTTTATTGAGTTCTTAAATGATTTTGATGATTTTAGGGAAGTTCATATGACTTTTATAAAATCTTTTCAAATCTCACTAAAAACCATGAGACTTGGATTTCTGTATTTTTAGCCACTCATTTTTAAGGCTTCAAGTCTCAAATTTTGAAGACCTCTTTTAGCTTGTGAACTTTTTAACCAATCATATATGTATAAATCATTTAAAATAAAATTGGGGTCTATAATATAAAACTGAAAATCTTAAAAGGTTAGAAAAAATCAAATTAATGTGACTTTATTTTAATTTTTATTGGTTATAGTTTTTCTAAGTATATGACGATAACATGTTTTTAAGTTTTCGCGTAATGCACTCGTAAGGCATCGGAACTATTCATACAAACATAGTTTACTTCGATGAACCATACCAAATAAGCAAAATCGTGAGTCCTTAATCCTTATATATCAAAACATTGCCTTGTCATTAAAGGTCATTTGTGGATGTGTCCTTTGACGTGAATTCAGAAACTTGATAGCTATTATCACAACGAAACTTAAGAAAAGTATGTTATCATAATTCAAACATCAAAATTATTTTAATTTATCATTACTAAACAAAACGAAAGGATAAAATTACAAAATATTATCTCAAAAACTTTTAAGTAACTAAGGATTCCATGGAAAACATAGAGGCCGACCACCATCGCGCTTAATACGACATGGACCTGCCTCAGTTACATACCAAATACATTCTTTGCAGCTTCCAGCCTCACTTTTTGGATTGTCGTCTCTATCTGCTCTAAATATATCAAACGTAGCTGTGCCATTAGGCCACTCGAAACTGCAAGTGTACGTTGTTGTTTTACGTAGATTGACACGAAACCTGAAATCAAAAGTGTCTTTCCAGTTGAGTCTTACTACTCCTAAATCATCCCCTTTGTTTCTACAGTGCACAATCAAGATTGCATGCGAGACCAACTTGTTGACGATAGTAACATGTTTAGCTGAGAATGGTATAAGTCCATCGCTGGACGAATAGTTTTCTAATGATGCCGACGTTTGGAGAACATAGAGAAATAAGACTAGCACGAAGAAAATGAAAATTTGATTTGTTGAGGAAGCCATGGGTGTGGTTTAGTTTAAGATCAGTTTGTGAGAGAGTTATTTCTTTTGTTTGAGAGAAAGCATGGATTTATAAGACAAATGTGAGAATCTTAAGTTTGTAACGTATAATACACAATGACAAAGCATACCTAAATAAAGAAGATATATAATGGTTTCTTTTCTTTTTTTTTGTTCAAATATAATGGTTTCTATATCATTATTATTCTTTGGTATCTTTGGTTACAAAGATGGTCAAATCCATGCAGTTTTCTATTTTCTGCCTATAAAAAAGCTCTGAATTTGTTATATTTAATAAGCAATTTCTTCAATAGGTATTTATCTAATTATTCATAATGATCACCAAATTTGATATTTATAGTAGTAGATAATTTGTTTAAAGTTTATATTTTGTTATTAATATCATAGTGTAATAAGGAAATCTGCTTAACTTTAAGGTAAATAATTTATATTACCATTTATATACATCTTCTTCGGGAAAAATGTTATTTAAATCCCGAACTTACAAATTTTGGCCATTTTAATCCTAGATTTTTCATTGCGGCCATTAAAATCATATACTTCTCGTTGACGTTATTTTTAAATCACCATCTTCTGTTGACTGAGCCAGATTGAACAAGTTGTCAAATCAAATCCTCTAACAGAAGAGTTAACATCCGTTTAGGATCGTTACTAGAACTCTACTAAGTCAAAAATGAGAATCACAAGGACAAGTGACGTCGTGCTGCCTTAAACAAAATGCATAAATTCCCAAATCGACGTTGCTTGTCCTTATGATCCTCATTTTTCGACTTAACAAAGATCGATTAACGATCATAAACGGCTGTTAACTCGTCTATTAGAGAATTCTGTTAGAGAATTTGATTTGACGACATGCTCAATCTGACTTAGTCAACAGAAGATAGTGATTTAAAATAACGTTAACGAGAATTCTATGATTTTAATGGCAACAGTGGAAGTTGAGAATTAAAATGGCCAAAATTTGTAAGTTCAGGATTTAAATAACATTTTTCCCCATCTTCTTCATCTAACATCTCCAGTTTCATGTTCATTGGCCGAGTATGATCCGTAAACACACAACAAATCTTGAACAGCCTAAGACAAATGAACTACTCTTAACTACATACAGTTAGAAAGTAAACTAAGAACTTAGTAACGAAAACGAAGAGATTTCTTATTTACATTATTTTTTACAAGGCCAAAAATTGGTTACGTTCCTAGTTATGTTATATCACAACTTGATGCTAATCTTCTCTGACATCTTCATCAAATTTGAGTAAACTCTATCACCACCAATCTCATGACCTGAAGCTCCAGAAGCAATCCTCAAAACATCTTCAATGAGTCCAACATTACCCATTATGTCTACATGAGATCCGCTTTCCGTTCCTCGACTTTCCAATAGACTTCCTGGTGGCTTGTGTTTATATTCCCGCACAAATGTCTCCATCCCCGACGGGTTAAACCGTGTTTTCCCTCTCCATCCCTTTGCACACATAAACCCCGCACTTATCGCCGGTACACTCTCGTCTCCATCCGCAAACCGAGTTCCTCCTTTAAGACAAACTTCATCTCCATCCACCGATCCATCTATCCGGAAAGGAATGCTGCTCTTGTATTTAGCCGATGAGGTTGCGAGCTTGTATATGTAAGATCTCTCGGTCGGAATTCCTACTCCGTAAAGACAGTACATCTCCATCTCTGGTGCATCCGGTAATCTGTTAGGGGAACAAACAAGGTATTCAAATTCCAGCCATTGTGTTTCTACTGTCACAGGTAAAAGATCTCCCCAGACTGGCCATGAACCGTTTCTGATCCCGACACGGGACAATTGGGACCAACCTAGCCCTTCTTTCCCGCCAAGGCGCCAATGTTTTTTTTTTGTTTGATGTTTAACCGCCAAAACCAGAGTGGGTGAGGTCAAGCCCGTTTGCAACATGATAGCATGCATATTGCTATATAAAAAAAGGACAATGGGAAAATGTTATATACTTACTTGGTCTCGAGTGGATTGGACCAGTACTTATAGTGTCCATACTTAGGATCGTCAAGATCCTCAGCAATGCCGTGTGAGAAATGAGCCTCAGCTCGTTTCATCATCTTAGGGGATATAAACCGGAGAAGATCAAAAACAGTGGTGGCTGTGTAAGCTGTGTTTTCTGCTACTTTAACTATGCTTTCTCGGCTTATTTCATTGTACTCTGACCAAAACTCTCCACATGATGTGGTCTCATTTGAAGTACCGTCTCCTCTTGACAGTTCCTGTTAAGCATATAAAGAGAAAAGTGAACGCAGTTAGATTCCATCGACCTCGGTAAAGGCAGGAAACCGTGGCAAGATTTTTTATAACCTTTATGTTAAGAGTATTTAGTTGTGAGGAAGGCAGTTCGGATGCTTGTTTTCCGAAAGCTATGATTCTTCCGTACTTTGCGGGTTCTTTCACCCAAGACTCCGGTCTAACGCTGTCATTTCGTCTATTTAGATTATTTATTGATAGTTGCGATGATTTTCTCTTGGAGTAAATACAATTGTGGTCTTCTTCAGTGTATGAATCCAGATCTCCCCATATTGCCTCACCACCTTTTGGTAATAAAGAAACTATTGAATCCCAGCTATGTGACATCCGCATAAGGTGTTCGAGTGTTTGCAGCTTAAGAAGTTCCGAGTCTAAGAGACCCGGCGCCAAAGATCTAAACCATAAAAGTGGCCAATCAAAATCCATTAAATAATTTCAAATAGTGAGTAGACAACCTAAAACCGTTAAATAAATCAACGAAAACTAACATAACATTTCTTATGAAATCTAACATAACATTTCTTATGAAATCTAACATAACAACTGAAAGTAAACTTTAAAACGTCCTAACCTGGCGTAAGCGATATCTTTTCCCTCAGCGGAAAGCAAATTACTGACGGCTTTAGGGACACCTAAAAAAGCAGGTCCAATGTTGACAACGGCTTTGATGTGTTCGGCACACCAACCTGGACCGCCACCACCGCCTCCATCAGAAAGAGGTGTTTCAACCCATTTAAGGAAGTGAAGGAAATAGATAGCTCCCATCGAATGCGGAACCACCACTACTCTATTATATCCATTTGTGGCATACATTAGCTCGATTTTACTCTTTAGCCTACTTAATGAGTGGTCACGTACCTGCTCGGTTCCAATACCAAAACTATCAATTAGTCCAAACACAACTCAATATATCTATTACATTTACAAAAGTAGCTAGTAACCATCACAATGTCTTATATATCATTATCATCGTTCACTACCATTGTTGTTAATGTGATATAGGAATCTAATATAGTACATACCTCAGTGTTATGGAAAGAGAGTCTCCAATCATAAGAAGCCATATGAATGTTTTTGCCTTCATATCCAATTTTTGCCAAACTCTCTATGAGAACTGCCCAAGCAAAGTAGCACGGTGCGAAATAGTCTGCATCCACCAGTCCTGGGACTGCTCGGACCCGGATTCCTGGTGGGTCGAGACCAGTCTCACTGTCCAGAGATAAATGCTCCAACCAGCACAATGGCCTAAAAATCAACTCACAACATAATGATTTAGCAAGTATTCACTTCAAACTGGATTAAGTCAGAATTTATAATATCAAAATTATGCTAACAAGAAAAATCACATAAATCAATAACCAACAATCCATCTGAAAACCATAATTAACCAGAAATATCTGAAATTTTTTTAAAAAATTCTATGCTAAAATCTGATCTTCTACAATTAGTATAATTTTAAATACAGTTAATTATATCCTCATTGCATTAGTATAGTTTTAAATACAATTAAATATGTCCCTATTGCATGTTTTGGACATAATATATTTTGAAGTTATTTTTCTACTTACTATAACAATATAAATCTTACGAATAATTAATTTCCTAAAATCATCTCTCAAATTTATAATTGAATCAAATGTTCATAAACCATCTCCACCATTTGGCCATAACCAAATCAGGTTCCTAAAGACCATGCCAGTACCTTAAGCCAATTCAAGAAGAAATCAAGCTTAACCAAGATTGAACAACTCTAAACCGGAACAATACCAAGCCGGTTCTCTAATTTATCAAAACCTAACCAAGAAAAGCAAAACAAAACGGTCTAACTATGTCACCTTCTAAGAACCTCAGTGAAGCTAGCACCCCAAAGACGTTTACGAAAGAGCCCTTCAGAACAAGGACGACCTTCCCAAAGCTCGAGCCCTCCGGTTACAATCCCCGGAACAAGAATCACCGGATGAAGCGCCTTAACACCTTCTCGACTCAACCTAGTCCCCGGAGACTCAGGAGCTTGTAGCATAGCCGGGACAGGAACCGAGTGGTAGAGAAAGAGAAGGAGCCACCAAGCCGTACATAGATAACCAATAGCCCAACAACATGAGTCCATGCAGCTACATCTCCCGGAACGACGCCGTTTTGGTTTCTCGGTGGTGGTTTGTTGTTTGGCTATAGGGTTAACGGTATCCTCAGAGAAAGATAGTTTTCTGAACCGGAGTAGTGGAGGAGGAAGCATCGAAACAATAATGTGTGTATGAGCTAAAAAGAAATGATTTAACTAAAGAAAACGAATAATAAAAGATTACATTGCAATAAATAGCAAATATTGTAAATGAGAGAAGGAAAGAACAAAATTGACAATTTCAAGATTGTTACTATTTATATAATGACGCCGCCATTTTTGTATATTTTCAACATTTATTGAGTTTGATGCATGGAAAGAATATTCGTGGTGAGGACTTGTAAGCTATTAGAAGTAGAAGTGTGTGAAAAGCATGAAGAGATTGTTATACTTTAGGACACTTGTCTTACTTTTTACATGCAGTTTTGCTTTTGTTTTTTTGTTTTCTATAGGCATAGTAATCAGTAATCACAAGAGTTAGTTGCTAAATGAATACTTTAAGAATTGAGATCAAATTATTTTATTCACTATTCTTTCAAGTGACATTTTTGTTAAAACAATTGTTAGGAGCTAATTGAACGTTTAGAATAGATTTAGCGTTTTGCGGAAAATTAAAAATTAAACTTAGTTAATGATGTTTTTTTACTGCATGGATGTTTTTTAATTAATAATAAATATATGATATTAAATTTATGTATATTTCTATATCTAGTTAATAAAGAAAAACACTAAATAAAATACTATAATATTGTTTTCAAACAATAAACACATGTAAATGTATTTTAAGGCAAAATCTTATAATTTCACTACAAGAAAAAGAGTAAATTGTATCACTTAAATAGTATCATTCAAACAAATGATTTTAATTTAAATTATTTATTGATAAATGATACAAAATATGTGGTTCAACATCAATTATTATAATTGATGTTATAATTGAAATGTTTGACATCGATTCAGTTTAAATGATATAAATTTATATTGGTTTGCATCATTTCAAAAATATTGATGGAAAAATATGAAAACACATCAATTACTTAACTGATGTATTTACAATTTTATTTACATCACTTAAAAAATGATACAAAATTAACATCACTTTTAAAAATGATACATTTTTTATTAATTGGTATCACACAAAAAAATTGATACAAATATATTAATCCACATCAGTTATTTGATTAGAAAAAAATAATTTAAAATAACTTCGTTTGTAAATGATCAAAAAATATTTTTGAATTAGTTTTTAATATTTTTTTTTTCAAACTTCATGTAGTTAAAAAATCTG